CCCCAAAACCCCAAAACCCCAAAACCCCTTTAATCTTTTATTGGAGTAATTCAATAATAGATTCATTATAATTGCTTTGGCATCATTTCTCATTATCGCATTATATGATGAAGCTTATTAGGCTTAATTATAAAATTTACTTAAATGTCTTAAAGTCAGTATTAGGTAAATGAATAAGTTGCTGCTCTAGCAATAGTAACTTTTATTGCTTTGGGTGGAGGACTGATGGTAGGATTATTCTTTGGCTTTCCATTTCCTGCAATTGGGAGTTTCAAAGGATACAGATGGAAGCCTATTATAAGAGTTGTTTAAGTGCCTAATCTAATAGTGATGATGATACTGGGATGCTTATCGAGAAACTTGATCGGAGGAATTATGGATGCGTACCCCGCAAAATGGACTGTCTATATTAGAAGTATTTGCTTGTCAATCTTGCTCACTAGAGGTGGTCTCGTTATGAACATCAAGAAAAACTATTTCACAGTAGCAGCTCTCTCTATAATTCCATTAATGTGTGAGGCTTTGACTATTGCTTTAATAGCTTATGCTTTATTCAAAATGCCTATGAGTTTATGCTTCGCACTTGGCTTTTCAATTTCTTGCATTGGCATAGCAGTCATGGTACCTACTCATCTCAACATAAATGCGCTTGGTTATGGGAAAGATAAAGCAGTAATAAGTTAATTAGTAGTAGCTGGAACAATTGAGAATATTAATTGCATAATTTTATTTGGGATTTGCTGAACCATAGTATACTATTAAAATGGATTGAAAACAAGATATAGCTATGGACTTACAATTGGATTATTATTTATAGAAAATATTACAGGCATCGCTGTTGGCATTTTACTTGGATTATTAGGATTTGTATTCAATTATTTACCTAAGAAAAATCTGACATTGCATTTAAAGATGTGGTATGTAGTAGTCTGCTGTATCGGTATGGGTGTTGCTGGGGAGGAATCTACTTTTGTCAATGCTAAATTCATATCTAGCCTAACTTTTGGGATAACACTGCAAAAGGTATGGGGGTAATCGTTGCCATTAATATAGTTGAGATGGTTTTAATTTTTTGTGAGTCCATTGTTCTTCAGCTCAGTAGGTGCTTCATTGAGATTTTAAGCTATAAGATCATCAGATGTACCTTATGGAGTTGCTTGTATAATAAGTGGTTTGGTAATTAGATCTTTAGCAGTAATATAAACAGCATAGATTTCAAAAATTTAATTTAATTTCAAAGAAAAATTATTTATGGCTTTTTCATGGCTTCCTAAGGCAGCAGTATAGATAGCTCTTAGCAATTTGATTTTAAATGATGCTATTGTTTAAAACAACTTATAATTGATTGAATACGGAAGGATAATCTAAACTGTTTCTATACTTTCAATATTTATTAGTTCTCCTATTTCTGCAGTACTTATCAACACATTTGGCCCTATATTTCTTTAATTAGAAAGAGATTAGTAGTAAAGTAATATGATTGATATACCAGGATATCATAGATAGCAAGTGAAAGAAAAAATAATGCCAACAAATAATATATCAAGCTAGGATAAAAACGAATTTGTGACATATAGATCATAGGAGGATTAAAATTCATTGAACAAACCTAGCAGTGATTCAAATTAAAGGATTGATAATTAATCATTTTCATAGTTTCAAAGCTCGACTAAATTGAAAATAGATCCTAGTGAAAATGAAGAAATCCAATTAAATTTAGATTCACCTAAAGCTTAAGAATCTCAAATCCAATATAGCCCTCAATTATGATAAAATCTGGAATTATTCAAGTAATATTAAAGTTAACTATAAAATAATAATTTTTATTAGCAAATTTTAATTTAATGAATTTATCCTCCAATATCATAATCATGGGGTTTTGGGGTTTTG